AGAACAATATAAGTTGTTCACTGGTCACGAGGGAGACACAGGTTGATGTACCCTCTATGTTTGTTTATGTTCCCTGAGCCGAAAGGAACATAGACAAACATAGAGGGTTCATCAACCCATGGGTCCCGAAGGACCAGTGAACAACGCATTTATCTTACCGAACACCTCAATGTTAATTTTGTACTGTTTGAAGCACAGGTATCGGATCATAATAAGGAGTACCGGACGTAGGCAACAGCCCAAACACTACTAACACGAATTCCCACAGTTCGAGATTTCTAGCGAGTAACACAGAAAATGTTACTCTCTTATAAGCGGGACACATTGATTTACTCAGCAAATCAGAAAACTACATTTATGTGTGATGTAAGATAAGTCAGTTGAATGCAGTTATGACTGAAAAACGTTGAAGTAAACTCCGTCCAGGTAAGCTAAGTGTTAAGTGTCAAGATTGTGTCTATTCTGAAATTAGGAATTGTTCTTGCTCTTTTCCGATTTTATTTTTATTTTCGTGCACATACTTCTTTAAAGAACTGTATTTCCATGCCAACATGTCAGTCTACGCTGGTTAAAGTTATATTAGGTCAAATAGATTTCCCGTCACGTTAACGGCGTCCTTCTCTAATCCCCTGACTGGGTGTCAACATCTGTGAGCTCTCCTCGTAATCGTCATAATGTGTATGGGCAAGGACACTGATTATTATGACATGGCATATGCAAGTTCGTATGTTGAGTAGTACCGGTTGGCTGGTTAATAAATCAAACACTGCAGGTTTCGAACCAGCGGGACAGGATGTGGAGGACGCAGAACCTGCAGGGATGATGACTACCCTGTAACACATCCAGGACTGACAGTAGAATGAGATGTGTACCGATGTTTTGGCTATGTCCTAGCAAAAAGCCTTGTGGTAACATACAAAAGGTTGCTTTCCATGATCTTTTTCAAAAGCAGGTTTAAAGCAGTGTCTGACTGCAAGGTCACTCACAGAGCAGCTCAAAAGATTCATGTCGCACAAAAACACCAACTTCCCATACACCACCAAGCCTACAACGTTATTGTAAAACTGTTGTTTTGCACAAAGGAAGTTGCAGAACGAAAATCCCAATCCTCACAATACGGTTGAATAAATGACATGAAAACAGCAAAACGGAATTATCCAAGCAACAACTGTATAACCCTTTTGAAAGATATTTCTCGAATTTCATCTCGATTAAGACTGCAATAAGGGCGTCAAATATAAATGTAATGCTGTTATCTGTTGACTGGTAAACCTCCACTCCCAAACTTAAGGAATTAAGCCATTAATTTGACATCAAATGATTATGCAGTAAGAAATCAATTCCTTGCACTCTGGGCAATGATAAAACCAGAATAACACAGGGCGGAGGAAGCCAACCCCCTTAGGTCCGCCTGATGCCGAACCCTGATAAATGATGTTCCGGAGGTTGCCGTGCAGAAGGCTGGACGACATGAAATGTTCATCTGGAACTCGGATGCGAACATTTCAATGTTGAAGTATAATTTTTCCTCCGAAGAATTTAGAACATATGGGTAGAAATCGTTATGCATTATGAATTACTTGTACAACTGATACAACTCAAGAAGTCTTAATCTGGGTGTATACATATATTATACAGTCTGCCGGATGCCAAGAGAAGGGGCGGGCACCCCCAGGACAGGCAGATCACTGCAAGTGAGAGCCATTGTTCTCCATAGAGTCCCAGTCACTCGCTAGATCTCTGCTATATTCAGTCGTTAGTTCTGTGTGATCAGGCATGTGAAACGCCGTATGCCATAATGGGAGATGGCAGCCATACAAGGAAACACACTGTGGCTATCATTACGGGGAGATCTTGCTACATGATGCTGTCGTGTTTCGCAGTATCCCTACAGAGTCGAAGCAAGCAATAACCCGATTATGATCCAATACGAGCCTTTCGATTATTTTCACTCTTCTTTTTATTCACTGAAATTGAGTAGATTCATTCTAAAACACTCACCACGTGATACTGTTATCAGTCTTAAAAATTAGTCTTAAAAGGTTTATTTTAGGGACCGAAAATGTACCACTCACTAATAAGAACCAGACTGTTAGTATTGACACATCCACGTTCAGCTGGCAGTAAAGAGAGATATCCTTGTGAGGTTGAGAGGTGCATCATATTTTATGTTTGCTTCGTAAGCCTGATCTTCATGGAACGGCACGACTGAATACATCAGAAACACAAGGGTCGTGTTTTATGCTGTGTCTCATCTAAGTGAACGAAGACTATTCAAAGTATATTCCCTGTGAGCTGCTCAGCTGCTGAGATTTTCACAGACCATAGTATTGCATAGGAAACACAAAGGACCATATCTGACAACACAACACGCCATATTTTCGCAGAAGCACATCAAACAAGATACCACGTCATATTTCCACAGCACCATATCAGACAAGATAACACGCCATATTTACACAGCACCACATCAGGCAAGATAACACGCCATATTTCCACAACACCATATCAGACAAGATAACACGCCATATTTACACAGCACCATATCAGGCAAGATAACACGCCATATTTCCACATGAGCTCATCAGACAAGATAACACGCCATATTTCCACAGCATCATATCAGGCAAGATAACACGCCATATTTCCATAACACCATATCAGGCAAGATAACACGCCATATTTCCATAACATCATATCAGACAAGATAACACGCCATATTTCCACAGGAGCACATCAAACAAGAAAACACGCCATATTTCCACAACACCATATCAGACAAGATAACACGCCATATTTCCACATGAGCTCATCAGACAAGATAACATGTCATATTTCCACAACACCATATCAGGCAAGATAACACGCCATATTTCCACAGGAGCACATCAAACAATATAACACGCCATATTTCCACAGCACCATTTCAGGCAAGATAACACGCCACATTTCCACAGGAGCACATCAAACAAGATAACATGTCATATTTCCACAGGAGCACATGAAACAAGATAACACGCCATATTGCCACAGGAGCTCATCAGACAAGATATCACGCCATATTTCCACAGGAGCACGTCAAACAAGATATCACGTCATATTTCCACAGCACCATTTCAGGCAAGATAACACGCCACATTTCCACAGGAGCACATCAAACAAGATAACATGTCATATTTCCACAGGAGCACATGAAACAAGATAACACGCCATATTGCCACAGGAGCTCATCAGACAAGATATCACGCCATATTTCCACAGGAGCTCATCAGACAAGATATCACGCCATATTTCTACAGGAGCTCATCAGACAAGATTACAGGGCACATTTGCACAGGACCATATCAGACAGGATAACACACCATATTGCATATGAGCACATCAGACAAGATAACATGCCATATTTTCACAGGACTTATCCGACAAAATAATACAGCACAGTAGCTATGTTGCAATCACCTTGTATTATTGTAAAGTTTACAATTCCCCTGCCTATAGTCAAAGTGGCCGAGACTTCAGTTCATGATACTAGCTTGCTGGACAAGGTCCCTGCCTTGTCAATATCTGGTCAAAGTGTTGATTTAGCTTGTGTATATATTCTGATTTAATTAATCAGTGATCGTTGTCAGAGTTTTCGATTTTTCATATTGTTGTCTATTGATACAACTTGCTCATAGAAATAAACTGAACTTTTACCTCATTTCAAGCATTACTTTATTCTTGGTCTCAGGAACACAGCTCCTTCACCTTCTGTCACAGATGTGACGGATCAAAACAACAAGAACAAAACAATCCTGGCCACATGGGAACTGTTCTGAAAAAGTAAACTTAAAAAGTGTCCTGACAAACTGTATTAGCAGTTCTCATATACAGAGTTGAAGTGTATTTAACTGATAGCTAATAAGTCCTTGCACTAATAAGAAGATACCCACAAATCATTTGTCGCATGTTCAGACGAGATCAGCTGTTCTGTTGATTTATTTATTACTCCGCATGGAGGTGGTTCTTTTAACAACGCATACAAGTATATTACGTTCGCTTCATCTACTTTGATATTCATTGGTTTGATAAGAACGTCCAACAGTTTTAGTTACAGCAACGAGCAACTACTACTTGTCAGAGGTACCTTACAACTTCTAATGGAACTGGCCTCTAACGGAATCTGCGTGCTGGTATCTAACTTAATCTACATGTAGCTGAATTTATATGATGATGCATAAATGAAGCTGTAGTATAGGTGCGGATTTGCCGCTGAATCTAAATACAGGTGAATGTAAATCTCTGGCCCTATTTTGAAAGAGAAAGGTAAAGAGCTTGCTTCAGAATTAAATGTCAACGAGTTTAAGGCATCAGATAGTTGGCTGGCACGTTGGAAGACACGATACGACATCAAACAGTTCAATTGATGGATATGCGCCTGAGGATGTCTTTAACTGGGAAGAGTTTGTTTTTCCGTACTTTACCGGATGTAATCTTTATTGATGAATAAAGAATATGATGACTATCAACACGTTGTTCAGTCGTATTGTACGGCACACGGAAGATCATTCTCAGGTTGAAAAGGGAAAAGTTCTCTAAACCGGCACGCCTTCTATATCGGCTTTTTGGCTGGTCCCAACGAATGCCGGTTTAGAGGGCTTCCACTGTACTGATATCCAGCTGAATCTACGCGATCATGGGTAGCTGAATTTACGCGTTGATGTCTAACTGAATCTGCACATGCAGCTGAATCTACCTACTGATATATAACTGTATTTTGATGTGTAGCTGAACCTTCGTGCTGTTATATCAGGGAATCTTTGAAACTGGATCTTGAAGTTGGAATCTAGCTAAAATATACGTGCTGATATGCAGCTGAATCTATGTGCACAGATGTAACTCAGTCTACGAGCTGTTATGTAGCTGAATTTACGTGCTCATTTGTAACTCAGTCTACGAGTTGTTATGTAGCTGAATCTACTGCAGTTTTACGACCAAATGCCACCACACAACAATATCAATGTTGCCTATTAAGGCTTTATTGGTGCCATCAAACATTATAAAAGATGACAATGGATCGTGTTGTGTTCATATACAACATATATATGCATGATAGACATCTAAAACTGAGATATATCACAGTCCTTCGGGGTTCATCTGGTCATTCACTGGGTATAAATGTACACAAACCATTTGTATTAATAGATTGTTCATGTGTCGGACATGTGCACGGAATATGATGTTAACCTTTCATAGATGAAACTGTACACGTATTGAATATTACAGTTTCTAATATATATACATGAATCTAAAACAAAATTCGAACTGTGTTTTATTACTATATACAGAAAGCAGGACATCTTGTTTATATGCTGGGGCAGCAAGAAAGACACAATAATAGCCCCTCCAATATTCTGCATATGTTGAAACATAATTCACAATCATCCACACATCAGATACCATTACAGTTATTGGAAAATTGGGCCAAAATAACCCTTAGTCATAAGTTGTTCCATGCCAACTCCCAGATGTAAGTTTGGTTCAGGGAACAGCTGATCCACCACTGTTATTGGTGAGGACAAAAGCATGACATTAAACTGGACGGAATGGAAACTTGCCTCAGTACAGCGTAAACAGAACTTATCTGTCATACTCTGGCTATTTATGGTATGTACAGAACTTAAACTGGTGGCTAAAACTAACTTCTTTTAATTTCTAACTGTTGTTTTTTAAATATTGAACATAGTCTTTTACAGCCATTGGATGCAAAGATTCTGCCTCTGTGGTTCTGTGGTTCCTCCAATAAAATTGTCAATCTTTAAAGATTGTACACGTGAAATTAGCAACAGATCAACAGTCTTATAATATGCAGCAGTGTTTTACAAAGCCAGGGGATTATATGGACAATTTTCTATTACTTTCCAGCACCTTTGGGCAGAGGAGGCAACTTTCTTTTTGACAGATCTGGTTGTGGAAGTTCAGAAGGTTTGGGGGGACATATGTCTAAGTACTCTGGGGGACGCTCATGAATTGGTTCTATATACTCAGCAGTTATCTCCCCCCTCACTGGCTTGTTGATCATATAAGCTAATCTGTCAATAGGTGAACTTGGATTCTCTGACAATGAAGTGGTTTGGGGCACTCCTGTTTCAGATTCATTTACAAACTGTAACTTGTGCATTTTATCTTTTTCTGTCAAAACCTTCATGTCTAGATACTGATGACTGTTTGGTGATTGATCACGATTAGCTTCACCCTCACTTAATCCCTTCATCTGACTTTGTTCACCTTGACCTACATTTTCATTATGACCTTCATTTGCATATCCTGAAGTTTGATCTTGAGGCTGTTTCACATAATTTGGCTTTGGACATGACTTTACAGGTTCAAGATAATCGTTCTGGTCAAATGCAGGGTTCCCATGACCATTCTTGCCCAAGTTTGGCAATAATTTCTTTTCATCTTTTGGCACCTCTTCCATCTGACTGAGCTCATTCTTTGACACAACAGGACTGAGGTAATCCTTGTCAAGGAGGGGCTTAGCAGAGTCATGTCCCTTGTCTTTCCCAGCTGGGGTTGGTGGCGGAGTTGAGAATGACACCTCCGAGTTCTTCCTGGCTGCAGCCCGCACCAGATTACACTCCTTGAGATTCTGCTTGGTGGAGTAGGTCACCTCGTATGGAATGATGGTTTCTCCAAATTCAGCATAGGTGTTATCTGAAATATCACATGCATTGTTTCAAGATTTACTTCATGTCCAGTACTTGACGATGATGAAGGTTTATTCATAATTCTATGTAAAAATGTCTCAGTTAGAATACTTGTACTTCTGATGGTTCAAGATGTCAAATGAAATGATGTTACATACAGAAAATGAAGGGCAACAAGCAACAAATGATCAGTCTCATGTGTGAAATATTTGAAATGCACTGATCACTGGCATTGTGTCACATATACGTGTGCCCTGCTACAGCAGCTTGCAAATGGTAACCCCTTTTTTATGGCAACAGACATTCTTCTGAGGCCGGTTGTATCTGGGTGTGAACAGCTCTACAGTGAGCAAGCATCACATAATATGTAGTAACGCTGACTATTGAGTATGTGATAATAATTACAATAGTGCCTGTTTATAGTGCGCATAAATCCACCCTCGTAAGCATGCTCATGGCGCTACAATTAAAACAATATGTACAGTAAGAGTGAGCTGTTTATGAGTCATAGAACTGAATGAAAAGTGCGTTTTGAGATGGCTTTTAAAGGAGTCCAGAGTTGGTGCGAGCTTCAGGTCAAAGGGTAAAGAGTTCCACAAGACCGCAGCAGTGTGTGAAAAGGATCTGTGACCGAAGGTGATGCACAGAGCAAACAAGAACAATTGTTGTCTGGTAATAAGGCATCACACTAACACTATGCATGACAATCTCTAATGGTGGTAAGGTATGAGGAGAGTAGATAGATATGTTTAATGTTGGCTTATCCCTCCAGGTATGCAGTGTATGTGGCTGGCTATATGGTCACACACTGTGTTCAGGAGGCTGTGGCCCCGTCAGAATAAACCAACAACTTATAACATATGTGTGTGAACTAGTGGTGTTCCGATTAATTGAAATAATCGAAGATTGGTCCAGGGGCCAAATGACCAAACATTTGACCACATTTTCTCATAATCAAACACAAACGATTTTGGAACTGCTGTTTTAGTCTTTGAAACATGATGGAACATATCTTAGAAGTTGTCAGGGAAACTTGTTTAATACTTAGAAAACTCACTTCACTAACTGATAAGCCATGACTGAATATTTGTTGAAAACTCCAGGAAGTTTATGTTCATGATATATAAGTCATCACTTTAAAGTAGCAAGTTGCATCATGTTATACATATCTTCAATAACAACCTGGATAGGATTATCTGAAAAATGACGCGAACCAATTTTTTCGATGATTGTTTGTTGGTAATGAAGCAATTATCAATTGTGAGATTTCAACCAATTCCCAACACTAGTGTGAACACCAACCCTCAGTCATGCTGCCATGTGCTCTTCGATGGTCTTCATCAGAGTGGTCAAACACTGGGTTGGTCAGCATCGTCATGTTCACTGCCGGAGCGTTGTTCATGCTTGGTATCAGACTGGAGGGATAAATGTTCATTGTAAAACTTGGCACAGAGGACAGAGGTTAATCACTCTTCATCCTACCACCTGTTGCTAGTTTAATCCAAAACTTAACATTATGATAAAGTAATGACAGATAGGACAATGGCATTCACATTGAAAAAATCCTTACTTTCACACCCTCAATAAAAGTTATACAGTTTCTGTGTATTAAGACTGACAGTTTAAAACCTGAACACCCTGATCATGACATACACAGATATGTATGCCAAGGAAATGATAGAACAAACCAAACTTTGTTATCTATTTTGTATACACAACTTTGCAGTCAAATTTTGCACAATGACTTCAATAAACTACTCACATAAGTTAACACATATTTCACTTGACACACTGACATCACATGGCACACTTCACTGCACAAGACACTCACATGATACACTTCACAAGACACTAACTTCACATGATACACTTCACAAGACAATAACTTCACAAGACACACTTCACATGATACACTTCACAACATACTAACTTCACATGATACACTTCACAAGACAATAACTTCATATGATACACTTCACAAGACACTAACTTCACAAGACACTAACTTCACATGATACACTTCACAAGACACTTACTTCACATGATACACTTCACAAGACACTAACTTCATATGATACACTTCACTTCACAAGACACTAACTTCACAAGACACAAGACACTAACTTCACATGATACACTTCACAAGACACTTACTTCACATGATACACTTCACACTTCACACTACACTTCAGAAGAAACTAACTTTACAAGACACTAACTTCACATGATACACTTCACAAGACACTAACTTCACATGATACACTTCACAAGACACTTACTTCACATGATACACTTCACAAGACACAAACTTCACAAGACACACTTCAGAAGAAACTAACTTTACAAGACACTAACTTCACATGATACATTTCACAGGTCACTAACTTCACATGATACACTTCACAAGAAACTAACTTCACATGATATACTTCAAAAGACACTATCATCACATGATACAATTCACAAGACACACTTCACATGATACACTTCACAAGACACTAACTTCACATGATACACTTCACAAGTCACTAACTTCAAATGATACACTTCACAAGACACTAACTTCACAAGACGCTCACTTCACAAGACACTCACTTCACATGATACACTTCACAAGACACTAACTTCACATGATACACTTCACAAGTCACTAACTTCACATTATACACTTTACAAGACATCAACTTCACATGATACACTTCACAAGAAACTAACTTCACAAGACACTCACTTCACAAGACACTCACTTCACATGATACACTTCACAAGACACTAACTTCACATGATACACTTCACAAGTCACTAACTTCACATGATACACTTCACAAGACACTAACTTCACATGATACACTTCACAAGAAACTAACTTCACAAGACACTCACTTCACATGATACACTTCACAAGACACTAACTTCACAAGACACTCACTTCACATGATACACTTCACAAGACACACTACACACTCACTTGATGGAGGTCCTCCTCTTCCTGCGTCTGCGTATCTTGCACACTACCCAGGCTATGACAAATACCATCAGGATGGTGGTACACACCAGGCCCAGGGACAAGTAGATGGTCATGTGGTCAGTCCTGTCCTTCCCCATGGAGTCTGGAACAAACAACACAAATAAATTCAGATGTCTTCAGTCCAACTTCTCCACAACTTGGCCTGTTAACTAGTAGATCCACCAACACCCATAAAACCAGCCCAGTATTGTCTCAACACACATACATCACATGGATCGTACACAGATGATCAGGTCACACATTGTAACAGCCCAATCTTAAAACACCTCCATTTACAACAAATTTTTAACAATTTCACTAAATTCACCAAGGAAAGTTTTCTAAGATAATCACTGAAACAAACAGACACAAACCAAAATGGACGAACCCCAAACAAATGAAATACCGGTAAACTATGTACAAGAACTTTAAAAAAAACTTCTTCATCTTCTTATTCTTGATAGATTATGGCCCCGATGTTTGTAACTAGCCTGCATCCCCTGCCAAGATGGACGCTCTGCAATCAGAGAGGCCTACCCAACTCAGAACCCATCCTGCCCAGATGGATGCTCTGCAGTCAGGGAGGCCTATACGACTCAGAACCCATCCTGCCCAGATGGACGCTCTGCAGTTAGAGAGGCCTACCCGACGCAGAACCCATCCTGCCAAGATGGACGCTCTGCAGTCAGAGAGGCCTCCCCGACTCAGAACCCATCCTGCCCTGATGGATGCTCTGCAGTCAGAGAGGCCTATCCCACTCAGAACCCATCCTGCCAAGATGGACGCCCTGCAGTCAGAGAGGCCTACCCAACTCAGAACCCATCCTGCCCTGATGGATTCTCTGCAGTTAGAGAGGCCTATCCAACTCAGAACCCATCCTGCCCTGATGGACGCTCTGCAGTTAGAGAGGCCTACCCGACTCAGAACCCATCCTGCCCTGAAGGATTCTCTGCAGTTAGAGAGGCCTATCCAACTCAGAACCCATCCTGCCCAGATGGACGCTCTGCAGTTAGAGAGGCCTACCCGACGCAGAACCCATCCTGCCCAGATGGACGCTCTGCAGTTAGAGAGGCCTACCCGACGCAGAACCCATCCTGCCCTGATGGATGCTCTGCAGTCAGAGAGGCCTATCCAACTCAGAACCCATCCTGCCCAGATGGATGCTCTGCAGTCAGGGGAGGCCGCGACTCAGAACCCATCCTGCCCTGATGGACTCTGCAGTCAGAGAGGCCTATCCAACTCAGAACCCATCCTGCCCAGATGGATTCTCTGCAGTCAGGAGGCCTACCCAACTCAGAACCCATCCTGCCCAGATGGATGCTCTGCAGTCAGGGAGGCCTATACGACTCAGAACCCATCCTGCCCAGATGGACGCTCTGCAGTCAGAGAGGCCTATCCGACTCAGAACCCATCCTGCCCAGATGGACGCTCTGCAGTCAGGGAGGCCTATCCAACTCAGAACCCATCCTGCCCAGATGGATGCTCTGCAGTCAGGGAGGCCTATCCGACTCAGAACCCATCCTGCCCAGATGGATACTCTGCAGTCAGGGAGGCCTATACGACTCAGAACCCATCCTGCCCAGATGGACACTCTGCAGTCAGGGAGGCCTACCCGACTCAGAACCCATCCTGCCCAGATGGACGCCCTGCAGTCAGAGAGGCCTACCCGACTCAGAACCCATCCTGCCCAGATGGACGCTCTGCAGTTAGAGAGGCCTATCCGACTCAGAACGCATCCTGCAGAGTGATCAGTTCGTGACAAACTTCAGGGCTGTCATCAGTCAAGAATTAGAAGAGGGAGAAATTTTTGTTTAAAGTATAACTATTATATACAAAGCTTATATCTATAATTGTATTGTTTATTTCATCAATATATATATTCATATAATAACAAAAAGAGACTTTGATGTCACCATCCAACCATGTCGGACATACACAACATATTTCTAATGTTGTAATCTCATTATTTCACAGGCAATAAATTGGTTTTCATCTTAAGCGACGTCTCATCATTTATTGTCCTTGGGACAACTCAAGGCCTGAACCCAAGACACATGACCTGAAATCTATGTCTAGTGATAGCTATAAAAGAGTAGCCATTCACCAGGTTTGAGAGTTTCCTGGAAGTGGAAACCCTTGATGCTGGTTTGAAGGTTTCCAACATGGCCACTGCTGACTGCGTCATGGAGAACGTTTCTCAGAGTCATGTACCCAATCTTCTCAGTCATACTTGTCACATATTGGGTGTAAGTTGCCTCAAACTCAGCCACCATTTCACTCTTGTCAGCTGAAGGCCTAATACACAAATATCTTTTAGTTTGAGTAGAATCAGTCAACACTGAAGTATAGATACTAAAACCTTTCATGTAAATCATGTCTAATCTAAAAGCAAATGGGTGTTATTAGAATTATTGATAAAACACTCATGGACTGTAAAAAATATCACAGTATAAGAGCTTATTTACATGCTTAACAATTCTGTACAATTTACTTATTAGAAATAAACATCTGCTTATGGAAAAGAACAATAAAGCTTATTTTATCAACACAGTTCAAATATCATCCACATGTAAGACAAATTAAATTACAAATTATGCTCTGAGTATGAGGAATGGCGAGACAGCAGGGTTCTACCTGAGAGACTTGATGGTGATATCCAGCTGCCCAGTACTTTTCAATGCCGACATTACATGTTCAACCTGAAGCAAAAATGCTAGGCATAATGACATTTGAAATACGATACTGCTTGAGCTGGCAGCTACCTTGTTACAAGTTTCCTATTATGTTAAAGTTATGGATCCTAATGGCTTCTGGTCACGATATAACCGAGGGATAACCTCACCTGTCTACTGAAGTCAGCCAGTACCGTCTGTCTGTTGCGGGTGGTGTAGGGCATCAGGATTGTCACCTGCCCTTCATAGCTGGACAGTACTGCCAAAGAAAGGGACAGGTTAGTAGTCTTTTCTAAACAATATGTGTATTCAAGCAGTACGCAACAAGGGGTAGGTGTTTTTAGTGCTAAAGCAAATAAACTTTTCATCCAAACAGTAGAAGGTGTACTCAATATATTTCTTTATTTGACTACTTACAAGAAAACGTAGTTGACATAATATAACTACAGGCTCTGCACCTGCAAGATATACTGAGGGAAAGAAATAAGGGATCACATGAAAGGCCAAGTGTTCCTTTATTTTTTTCGAGGTTTCTTCACAAGCTTTGTATTGCATAGCTTGTAAAGAAACCTGGAAACAAATATGGAACACTTGTGCTTTCATGTGATCCTTTATTTTTTCCCCTCAGTATATATCCATGATCATGCCATACTGTGACATCAGCCTTTTTTATTGTATCAGAAAACACCCAACCTCAGATACAGTTGTGACATGGCATTGCAGCGCACCTGCATGTGCAGTCAACAGTCAACAAACTGTCAACTGAAGAAAGGTTGCTGTCAGCGTTGATATTCAAATATATTCTGCCTTGATACAGAACTAATGATAACAAGAAAGTATGTCATCACAAGTAGAACATGTTCAAGTTCAGGGATAGAGATAAAAGGTTTCATGGCTACCGTGATGGATAACATAAACAGAACAACTGAACCAATACCAAATTTCATTACAATTTAGGTTTCATGTTTCAGCAAATTTCATGACTTTGTGGGTGTAAATGACTGAGCAATGTCCAGTATAACAAAGGCATTGCATACTCTCATTTGGCATTCAGTCACGTCAGTGTACCATCACAAAATAGAAAGAAATATCCTCTGAAGACAGGAAGAATGATTGACTTCATACCTGTGTGCTTCTGCACCTGGCACCGTGCCCCTGTATACTCCATGGGGCACACACATACCCCAGACTGCTCCACACATGTGCCACCATTGTAACACACAGATTGTGAGCATAGATCTGTAACATGGAGGTGATCAATTAACACAAAAACTGATGAGCATAGATCCGTAACATGCAGGTCATTAGATCATAGATCCATACAACATGCAGGTCATCAATTAACACAAAGATGATGAGCATAGATCTGTAACATGGATGTCAGGAATTAACACACCGATAATGAGCATAGATCTGTAACATGGAGGTGATCAATTAACACAGGTTGTGAGCATAGATCTGTAACATGGAGGTGATCAATTAACACAAAGATGATGAGCATAGATCTGTAACATGGATGTCAGGAATTAACACACCGATAATGAGCATAGATCTGTAACATGGAGGTGATCAATTAACACAGGTTGTGAGCACAGATCTGTAACATGGAGGTGATCAATTAACACAAAGATGATGAGCATAGATATGTAACATGGATGTCAGCAATTAACACACCGATGCTGAGCATAGATCTGTAACATGGAGGTGATCAATTAACACAGGTTGTGAGCACAGATCTGTAACATGCAGGTCATCAATTAACACAGGTTGTGAGCACAGATCTGTAACATGGAGGTGATCAATTAACACAGGTTGTGAGCACAGATCTGTAACATGGAGGTGATCAATTAACACACAGATGATGAGCACAGGTCTGTAACATGCAGGTCATCAATTAACACAGGTTGTGAGCATAGATCTGTAACATGGAGGTGATCAATTAACACAGGTTGTGAGCATAGATCTGTAACATGGAGGTGATCAATTAACACAGGTTGTGAGCACAGATCTGTAACATGGAGGTGACCAATTAACACACAGATGATGAGCCTAGATCTGTAACATGGAAGTCATCTATTAACATACAGATGATGAGCATAGATCTGTAACATGGAGGTCATCAATTAACACACAGACAATGAGCACAGATCTGTAACAAGGAGGTCAGCAATTAACACACCGATGATGAGAATGACCAACCTGTTGTTGTGGACTCAAGTGTGTAAGTTGTTGGTGTTGACGGTCCCAGAGTGCCATCAATCTCACACTGCCTCCCGCTGTAGCTCAGGTTGCAGTCACACATGAAGGTGTTGTTAGGCATGGACACACAAACTCCTCGGTCAAAACATGGGTACGCATCACACGGGCTCACATAGCCACAGTTGGAGTCCAGCAGGACCCCTGGCCGTGTGGGGCAGTGGCAGATGTAGCCAATGTCACTGTCTTCAGCCTCACAAGTCCCACCATTGACACATGGGGCCAAGGAACAGTCTGTCACAACCTTCACCTCACACCTATGACCTTTCCAGTGAAGGTTGCAGTAGCAGACATGGCGGCCATTTTCAACTGTACATGCCCCTCCGTTTTGGCATGGGTTTTCTCGACATCTGCGGGTGTGGATTTCACATCTTGTGCCATTATAGCCTTCGGGACAGTTGCAATTAAATGTGTCACCGATTGAAGAACAGGCTCCACCATTTTGACAAGGATTGGGCCAGCACGAAGAGCCGAGATCCTCACAGTGTGGCCCAGTGTTGATAGACCTACACTCACATTCATAACCACCAACTCGAGACACACACACGGCGCTGTTCAAACATGGGTTGGATTCACAATAGTCAATGGTATTTTGACAGTTTGCACCTGATGAAGAGAGACAATAAGACAGTTACTTGTTGATAATATCTGTTTCTGCTGTCCTTCTGTCAGATATCTGTTGGGTACCACTGGCTACTTTGTCCGAGTATCTGTATCAGCAGACATCTTTCCTGACGCCATATCCAGTGGTATCCACAAGGAATCCAGGTGACACAAATCGGAGTGAGTTTTACGACGCACTCAGCAATATTCCAGCTATATGGCATACGGCCTGTAAATAATCAGGCCTGGACCAGACAATTCAGTGATCAACAGCATGAGCATCAATCTACACAACTGGGATACGATGACATGTGTGAACCACGTTAGCGAGCCTGACCACCCGATCCCGTTAGTCGCCTCTTATGACAAGCATGGGTTACAGAAGATGAGTTCTAACCCAGATCTTCATGGATTAGAAATCTGATAAAAATGGTAACTGAACTGTTTAGCTTTAGTTTGGAAACAACTTGGTGTACAACTTTATGGATAAACTTCGGGTTTAATGCATTTACCCAGATAGCATTCGGACATTGGCCCAACGTTGGCAATGTTGGCAAAGCCATTGCCAACATTGGGCCAACGTCTTAATGCTATCTGGGTAGTAATGTTTCAGTGGAGATTCTTACACTGTTACTAAGCTGGAGTGACAACAACCAAGTGAAGAGGAGTATATTCTGTCCTTTCAATCCTCATTTTACATCTGGCTTCATTATCTGTGAGCCAGTTGGTATTCTTACTTAATCATGTAAAACCAACAAATACAGACAGCATTATAAGCTGCGGTTGGCCATCTCTTACCAGTATAGCCAGGCAGACAGTGACAGGCTAGGTCCCATGGATCTGGGCCGTCTGTACATGAAGACCCATTCTGACAAATACCCAACAGACACTCATCTATTGGTTCATCACAGTCATCGCCTTGGTAACCATACTGGCAACGGCTGCAGTTGTATCCTCCAATCATATCCTCACAAATATGATTTGGCCGACAGGGGTAGTTGTCCGTCATCTTACACTCATTGACATCTGCAGCAGATGGAACAAGTTTATCCTGCATACTTGCCATGGTATATAATATGGTGATAAATTTAGAAAATTGTGTCTATTGTTTGACCAATAATTGTTTCACTATTAGTGCAAAAAATGTGCAAATTTGCAGGTACTTGACAGTGGTGAGCAAGCAGTAGGGTAGCTTAGTTAGAAGCTAAGCATCTAAAAGAAGCAAAGTCTATCATTCAGTGAAAGTTATTATTCCTGTCACAAAACAGCATACTTCACATGTAATGATCACTGGCTTTCACTTCCAGTATCCCCATGTGTCTCTGTCGTTGAATCATGTCAAGGGTAGAGCATTAAACAGACCCCATCCTCCAAGATATGCCATGTCAATGCATGGATTACATTAAGTTATATGTTGTGTGGGCATCTATTATAGGCAATATGGTACTTTTTTCCTACCACTTCACAGAACGCTGGCATCTGGAAATGAAACCTTGTGGTCAGGAAGACAGATAAACTGCCCTTATTAGGTTGCTGTCAACATCAAATGAAACGAGGTGAAAATGCCACTAAATGGCCCAAACGGACCCTGGCAAAGAGAAGAATGGTGTACCTTGTAAAACATCACCATGTATCAATGTCTGCAGGATGTCTTATACTATTATTACCATTAATTGTCTGCCAGGTTGATACTGGAGTCCAAGAAGGATGTTTGCATACATGTTCCAGTGAATGACACAACAGGATAAAACAACTTCTTTGAGTGGCATTTTAGAAGTTGGGAAGTACAATATAGAACAAACTTTATGGATAACAACTTCTTTTTATTCGTGAGTGCGATGTTTCGATACAGATTCTTGTACCGTTGTCAAGCATAAATGATATTATTTACAAATCAGGTAATGTTAATGGAATCAATGTATATCCTTCAGGCATAAATGCTTGACAACGGTACAAGAATCTGTATCGAAACGTCGCACTCACGAATAAAAAGAAGTTGTTATCCATAAAGTTTGTTCTATATAGGATAAAACAAGAAGACAAAGTCATCAATATCCTCCACAACCACAAAATACTCTTTATGAATATGTCTACTAGTTATGATTACGTCAAATGTTTTGGAGTGTATACAGCAAAGTGGAAGGAGAGTATTGAAAGGTTTTTAAGATCTACTCAAGAAATGAGCACTACCACCAAATTCATCTCGGTCTAACCCCCAAAAGGCACATCTAGGGATCATGCTTGCTATGTGTACCAAGTTTGGTTAAGCTATCACAAATAGTTTAGGAGATATGCTTCAGACAAAGTGTGATGGACGCACGGACACACGGACGGACGCACGGAACTCGTTTCTATATCCCCCACAACAACGAAGTTGCGGGGGATATAGAAATGAGTTCCGTCTAACAAGAATTAGTGGGGATGAAACTGTATGTGGCTGAGCGGGTTAGGGGGCTGACTTTGTGTGCTGGTAATTAGGTGCCTGACTCTCAGGGTGTCGGTTTGAATCCCGCATGGGACTCAGCCCAACAAAAGTACAAGAATCTGTACTTTACTAAGAAAGTGTAATCCCAAATATAACATGTGTTACGTCTCAGCACTCATCCCTGTAATCCCCACTCCTCAAATTGAGAGTAAAGAATACAAACAACTCACCCAAACATCGCGATCGGTTTCTGATAAGAACATGTCCATAGATTCCATCCACGACTTGTGTCCATGACAACACAGAACCATACGACATGTCACACTTGCTCTGATTGGCTAACACAGTGATCTGGTCTTCAGAAAGAGGCTCACCATAGATGTTAAATTGGCTTATCTCTCCAATAAAGGACTCCCAAAAGTTGAAGATGTTGCCCTGAGTATTTTGTTGCTGACCTGAAGGATATACATTGATTCCATTAACATCACCTGATTTGTAAATAATATCATTTACAAAGGTATAACTGTAGGCTGTTTAGAAAGAGAATAGACAAGGTTACATACAATAATAGTCCATATATCATGCGCATTGCTCCATGCACAATGCATGCTTGAAACAATCTGATTATTATTACCCTGGATAACCTAAGCTGCCTTGGGCTAGAAGGTTATAGTCACATGACTTTATTGCACCGGGTACCCATTTTCTGCAGGGTAACAGAGGCAGTTTTGAATAGATTCACTGCCTAGGGTGAGACCACATGTGCTTCATTGTGGGGCAGGACCGACGTCCTAGAAACTCTCAGGAGTCAAGCTGCCAAACATGGTCACCCATCCAATGACTGTGACTGCACCCAACATCGCTTAACTTCACCTGATTTGTGACCTGACCCCTATGAACAGGACCACGTGCCACCACATATGTTTGATGAATATAAATAAGGTGACTTCAGATGGCAAACCTTCAAAGCAAACTCTCATTGTCAACCTTCTGAATGTAGTCGCCCATCACACCTACTCTCTCCTGTGTATGTTTACCTGGGTCTCACTGTACAAAGCGATCTTAGCGTTAAGGTGACCATAACTCCCATACCTTAACATAGACTTAAGGTAGTCTTAGCGTTAAGGTGACCATAACTCCCATACCTTAACATAGACTTAAGGTAGTCTTAGCGTTAAGGTGACCATAACTCCCATACCTTAACATAGACTTAAGGTAGTCTTACCGCTAAGGTTGTTTTGTACAATGGCACCATAATGGATTCCCTTTGGCCACTGAACAGGACCATGTTCTTTAGTATTCTATTTTCTCTTTATCAAATTTCTGGTCTCATCCATTAAAGAAAAATACTATTCTTGCCATACCACAAATTATGAAAATCTGAAGAAAAAATATTTATCGTCTGGTCACTACACCTTACAAGATTTTGGGCATCATAACCAGTAGTATTGAGAATGAATTTCTAATGTCAATAGAAAACCTAAACCACCATTGCTTGTGAGCCATTTCAATCCAAACATCATGGATGAACTTCCTACAAAGTCAACCTGACCATGAGATTGTCTTACCAATAACCAAGGTGCCTCCACCAATCAGTTCATACCCCATTGCCAGTCCCACTCCAGCTGCTTGTCTTGTTCCATTGATGTACATGTTCCATGCTCCACCGTCGCCGCGCCAGGTGACGCAGACATGTTGCCACACGTTGGGTGCCAGTGTTACACTGCTAGACACACTCTCCTGCCTCAGGGACAGCTGGAATCAAAGGTGATGGTGAGTTGTATGTGAACTTCACAAACGCTTGGTCACAAGAGACACTCATGAGGTGTTTTTTATGCATATTTTCTGTTATCAATAATTCATATAGTTTACCACTATGCATAAGTGTTATCATGAAATTGACTTTCTCAAATCAGTTGATACCAAACATCTTTTCATCTCCAAATATTTCTTCAGATATGATAAAATGTATGATAGAGGTGGAATTAGCTTAAAGTTCTCTATTTGCTTCAGCACTTCATTTATATGTGAAAATTAGATCGTGCAATATATTCTGTTCTCCAAAATTCACAATTACTCATTTCGGAATCAAAGATGTAAAAAAATATATATGCATATCATATGTTTTTCCCAAACCAAACAAAGTTGTTTGAAATATTCCTGTTTGCTTCATCTTTATTACAAACAATTGTAGAAGGGTTGTTACCTTCAATACTCCATCATCACTCAGTCCAAACTCTGGTACAATGATGCCATCACCTTCATGTCCAGGTATTGTATAGGAGAAAATAGTTCCTGATCCCAGGACTTGACTGGTTCTCACCCAGGTACAGACGCTGACTGCTGTCAGTGCCGGGATTACCTCCCTTTCCATTGAAACAAAACCATATGATGACCTCTGAGCAAAAACTAGGTCAAAGTCGGCGTTAACTTCTGAAAGAGAAGAAATGGGGAATGTGTCACATTATGGCTGTCAGTGTTAACACTCTAAGGGGGGCATGGCAGTGTCACATTATGGCTGTCAGTGTTAACACTCACAGTGTGTGATGGCAGTGTCACATTATGGATGTCAGTGGTAACACTCACAGTGTGTCATGGCAGTGTGTTATGGCAGTGTTACATTATGGATGACAGATGTTAACACTAACAGTGCATCATGGCAGTGTCACATTATGGATGTCATGTGTTAACACTCACAGAGCATCATGGCAGTGTTACATTATGGATGTCAGTGTTAACACTCACAGTGTGTCATGGCAGTGTCACATTATGGCTGTCAGTGTTAACACTCACAGTGTGTCATGGCAGTGTTACATTATGGCTGTCAGTGTTAACACTCACAGTGTGTCATGGCAGTGTCACATTATGGCTGTCAGTGGTAACACTCACAGTGTGTCATGGCAGTGTTACATTATGGATGTCAGTGTTAACACTCACAGTGTGTCATGGCAGTGTTACATTATGGATGACAGTGTTAACACTCACAGTGTGTCATGGCAGTGTCACATTATGGATGACAGTGTTAACACTCACAGTGTGTCATGGCAGTGTTACATTATGGATGTCAGTGGTGTTACACACTCATGGCAGTGTTACATTACGGATGACAGTGTTAACACTCTCACAGTGTGTCATGGCAGTGTCACATTATGGATGTCAGTGTTAACACTCACAGTGTGTGTGTAACATGGCAGTGTTACATGGATGTCAGTGGTAACACTCACAGTGTGTCATGGCAGTGTTACATTATGGATGTCAGTGTTAACACTCACAGTGTGTCATGGCAGTGTCACATTATGGATGTCAGTGTTAACACTCACAGTGTGTCATGGCAGTGTCACATTATGGATGTCAGTGTTAACACTCACAGTGTGTCATGGCAGTGTCACATTATGGCTGTCAGTGGTAACACTCACAGTGTGTCATGGCAGTGTCACATTATGGCTGTCAGTGGTAACACTCACAGTGTGTCATGGCAGTGTCACATTATGGATGTCAGTGTTAACACACTCACAGCAGTGTCATGGCAGTGTCACATTATGGATGTCAGTGTTAACACTCACAGTGTGTCATGGCAGTGTTACATTATGGATGTCAGTGTTAACACTCACAGTGTGTCATGGCAGTGTCACATTATGGCTGTCAGTGTTAACACTCACAGTGTGTCATGGCAGTGTCACATTATGGATGTCAGTGTTAACACTCACAGTGTGTCATGGCAGTGTTACATTATGGATGTCAGTGTTAACACTCACATTAGTGTGTCAGTGTGGCAGTGTCACATTATGGATGTCAGTGGTAACACAGTGTTCACAGTGTGTCATGGCAGTGTCACATTATGGATGCAGTGTCACATTCATGGCAGTGTCACATTATGGATGTCAGTGTTAACACTCACAGTGTGTCATGGCAGTGTCACATTATGGATGTCAGTGTTAACACTCACAGTGTGTCATGGCAGTGTCACATTATGGCTGTCAGTGTTAACACTCACAGTGTGTCATGGCAGTGTTACATTATGGATGTCAGTGTTAACACTCACAGTGTGTCATGGCAGTGTCACATTATGGCTGTCAGTGGTAACACTCACAGTGTGTCATGGCAGTGTCACATTATGGCTGTCAGTGGTAACACTCACAGTGTGTCATGGCAGTGTCACATTATGGCTGTCAGTGGTAACACTCACAGTGTGTCATGGCAGTGTCCCATTATGGATGTCAGTGTTAACACTCACAGTGTGTCATGGCATGGATGTGTTAACACATTATGGATGTCAGTGGTAACACTCACAGTGTGTCATGGCAGTGTCACATTATGGATGTCAGTGGTAACACTCACAGTGTGTCATGGCAGTGTCACATTATGGATGTCAGTGTTAACACTCACAGTGTGTCATGGCAGTGTCACATTATGGCTGTCAGTGGTAACACTCACAGTGTGTCATGGCAGTGTTACATTATGGCTGTCAGTGGTAACACTCACAGTGTGTCATGGCAGTGTCACATTATGGCTGTCAGTGGTAACACTCACAGTGTGTCATGGCAGTGTCACATTATGGATGTCAGTGGTAACACTCACAGTGTGTCATGGCAGTGTTACATTATGGATGACAGTGTTAACACTCACAGTGCATCATGGCAGTGTTACATTATGGATGTCACTGACAGTGGTAACACTCACAGTGTGTCATGGCAGTGTCACATTATGGCTGTCAGTGGTAACACTCACAGTGTGTCATGGCAGTGTCACATTATGGCTGTCAGTGTTAACACTCACAGTGTGTCATGGCAGTGTCACATTATGGCTGTCAGTGTTAACACTCACAGTGTGTCATGGCAGTGTTTGATTGACATTGGTATAACAACATGAGGGTCCTGTCAAGTGTACAACTCAACCTTGTCTGCCTGCTATATCTTCAGTGACTTCAACTCTCAGACTGTTCCAGTTAGTCAGACTGTTAACCCACACAAAAGAACTCACACAACTCAACTTCATAACTTTGTAACTAATTATGTTACTGGGTCAGAATCTGAGGTATTAAAGTGCAGGTCTCAGGGGTATATGCATCTTTGGAGAATCAGTACTTGTAATTGAAGTACAAAATGAGCACCTACTTATGGAGTTGATAAACATAAACCAACTATCTGTCTCTTAAGTTTGTGAGGAAATAAATCAATGTTGGCATTATGTACAGTATGGTGTCATGTACCTACTCATATTTTAGTGATCTTTCTACTATTAATACACAAGATTTTCATGTCAAGCATATATACCTGAGTAACTGATTATCCGAATACGAAGCTGTGTAGAGAGAGTGAGTGAGTGAGTGTGTTTAGTTTTACGCCGCACTCAGCAATATTCCAGCTATATGGCAGCGGTCTGTAAATAAATGAGTCTGGACCAGACAATCCAGTGATCAACAGCATCAGCATCAATCTGCGCAACTGGGAACCGATGACATGTGTCAACCAAGTCAACGAGCCTGACCACCCGATCCGTTAGTCGCCTCTTACGACAAGCATGGGTTACTGAACATCAGTATTCTAACCCAGACCTTCACAGGTTGAAGCTGTGTAGAATCATATTGTATGGTTATACTGAACTCCAAGGGACCATTGATTTTAGTTCATCATAACTGTAGTTTGTTATACACACTTTAGGATCCCCAAAACTTTAATCCCATATCACATTATCACCTGAATATAGACCTGAAATAACATTTTCAGCCTTTTTTAACACCTTGCCCAAACACCACCAAATATCCAGTCCAGATATTGGGATTTTGTTTCATCTTGAAAAAAACAGACATAAGAAATAGTAGAAAGAATAAAGGCAACTTTTTTTTAAGAACGATAATGAAATAATCAAGAGGTTGGGTGCAGATATGTGGACCACCCATTGGGCTAATTTGTGCAAGATGTAATGGACTTTTCCATCACCCTCATTCACCTAGACCGCCTCCATGGTTGAAGCGTCCGCCTGAGAGCGAAGGTCGCGGTTCAATCCCGACTGCGCCATACCAAAAAGGCGTTAAAATATGGTACTTGTTGGTTCCTGCCTGGCTCGGCATTAATGGGTACAACAAGGACTGGTTGGAGCAGCCGCACATACACATACACACGCATGCACGTCGTCATATGAGTGAAATATTCTCAAGCACAACGTTAAACACAATTTCACCTCACCTAACCTCACCTCATTCACCTTACATTGATTGTATCAGGATCTGCAGTCTTGATGAAGGCAGTTCTCAGAGGACAAAGGACAGAGTTTATTAGTCACATTCAAAATATTTTGGTCCCATCATAAAAAGGAGCCTCTCAGATGGCTCAACAAATCTCACTTTGGCTGATTCCTGCCAAAGACACATCCTTGAGATACTCCTTCAGAGTATTATTGTAGCCGAGACCCATAGGTGACTTATCCTGTCTCCGATGCTTCCAGGGCAGAACCTTACTCCTACAGACCACAATCCACTCAAGGCAATACTTCACAGATAATACTCAATCTGCCTGTCTTGCGGATGATACTTGGAGATTTTACACGCACTCTCAGACATTATGCACATTTCACACACAACTGGCTGATGCGTGGGATTACCGGTCCATGTCAAATAACGCATAATGTGAGATAAGTTTTTAAGTTTGAAAATTTTAATTATAAATTGTATATTTACAAGACTTATCCTATCTCAAACGATGGTTTCCTGCCCAACCAACCCAGATGATTCCGGCTCCAAGACATGACTTGAACTGGCTGTCACATGAAAAAGCCTGGGCTAGTTGCATGCTCTGCATGACATTCTAGTGCATATCAATAACAACAGCAGGTTTGTTTGGGTGAAGTGTTTAAAGAGGCTGAAAACTATTTTCATTTCAGGTTTCCACTCCACAGTAAAAAGAACAACAGTGAGTGAGTTTAGTTTTACGCCGCACTTGACAATATTCCAACTATATGGCGGCTGTCTGTAAATAATGGAGTCTGGACCAAACAATCCAGTGATCAATAGCTTGAGCAAATTGGATACAATGACATGTGTCAACCAAGTCAGCGAGCCTGACCACCCGATCCCATTAGTCGCCTCTTACGACAAGCATGAGTTACTGAAGACAAATTCTAATCCAGATCTTCACGGGTCCAAAAGAGCAACAGAAAGTGCATTGCATGAGACAGAAAAAGTACTATAAATATACACTTTATAGTTAACATATAGTTTGTTTGTTACATCATTCAGATTGATTTCTATCAGATTGACAACTGTACCTCCTTGACAGTGGTCACCAATAAAGCCCCCTGGACAGTTGCAGTAGTAACCATTCACTCGGTCAAAACAGGTTCCCCCATTCTGACAAGGACTGCTGGCACACTCATCAATTTCAAAAGAACATTGTTTACCTGCAAACAAACAAACATTGTTTACCTGCAAACAAAAACACATCAAGGTAATTTATATAGAAATAATTTCTGTCCAATTGAAAAGTTTCACATCTAATCGAATAAGGGCACTGTTGTCGCCCATTTTCTATTTCCATGAGCAAATGAGAGTGTGTTATGTACTGAATGTGGAGCACCAAACAGTTGACTATAAACATGTCAGTACTTACCAACATAGCCTGGGAGACAATCACACTCAAAATCATTCTGAAATGTGCGGCACTTCCTGGAGTTTTGACATGGGAAGGTCAAGCAGAGGTCAATCAGGATATCACAATACACACCTGTGACAAAAAGTAATTGTGAGTGAGTTTAATTTAAACACACTGTTTGTAACAATATTTCTGATGTATCAAGGCATCTCAATCTAATCTTGGGGAAAACACGAGACATATACCACTTTGGTGAAACCAATAAACGACAAAAAATTGACATTCAAAGAAAAAACAGTCGTCAATAATTTGAAAACCTTTAATAAATGTTTTTCACACTTTTTGTCACATTTCCCAAGCCATATACCAAACCACCCATATACCAAAATATCTACCAACTTAACCATATGCTTGAAAATCTGGCCACTACCTAAGTATCTACCAATGCACCTATCTACTAATTCCCCCATCTACCTAAGTATCCACCAATGCACCTATCTACTGATTCACCCATCTACCTAAGTATCTACCAATGCACCTATCTACTGATTCACCCATCTACCTAAGTATCTACCAATGCACCTATCTACTGATTCACCCATCTACCTAAGTATCTACCAATGCACCTATCTATTGATTCACCCATCTACCTAAGTATCTACCTAACTGATTCACCCATCTACCTCAAATCTACTGATTCACCCATCTACCCTAATCTACCTATCTACTAATTCCCCATCCACCTAAGTGTCTGTCAATTACCCATCTACCAGTGCCTGCACCATCTACTGATTCACCCATCTACCTAAGTATCTACCAATGTACCAATGCACCCATCTACCTAAGTATCTACCAATGCACCTATCTACTAATTCACCCTTCTACCTAAGCATCTACCAATGCACCTATCTACTGATTCACCCATCTACCTAAGTATCTACCAATGTACCTATCTACCACTGATTCACCCATCTACCAAAGTTCACCCATCTACCTAAGTATCTACCAATGCACCTATCTACCAATTCACCCTATCTACCTAAGTTCTACCAATGCACCTATCTACCTCACCCATCTACCTAAGTATATACCAATGCACCTATCTACTGATTCACCCATCTACCTAAGTATCTACCAATGCACCTATCTACTGATTCACCCATCTACCTAAGTATCTACCAATGCACCTATCTACTAATTCACCCTTCTACCTAAGCATCTACCAATGCACCTATCTACTTGATTCACCCATCTACCTAAAAGTATCTACCAATGCACCTATCTACTGATTCACCCATCTACCAAAGTATCTACCAATGCACCTATCTACTGATTCACCCATCTACCAAGTAGTATCTACCAATGCACCTATCTACTGATTCACCCATCTACCTAAGTATATACCAATGCACCTATCTACTGATTCACCCACCTACCTAAGTATATACCAATGCACCTATCTACTGATTCACCCACCCATGCACCTATCCTGATTCACCCATCTACCTAAGTGTCTACCAATGCACCTATCTACTGATTCACCCATCTACCTAAGTGTCTACCAATGCACCTATCTACTGATTCACCCATCTACCTAAGTGTCTACCAATGCACCTATCTACTGATTCACCCATCTACCTAAGTATCTACCAATGCACCTATCTACTGATTCACCCATCTACCTAAGTATCTACCAATGCACCTATCTACTGATTCACCCATCTACCTAAGTATCTACCAATGCACCTATCTACTGATTCACCCATCTACCTAAGTATCTACCAATGCACCTATCTACTGATTCACCCATCTACCTAAGTATCTACCAATGCACCTATCTACTGATTCACCCATCTACCTAAGTATCTTCCAATGCACCTATCTACTGATTCACCCATCTACCTAAGTATCTACCAATGTACCTATCTACTGATTCACCCATCTACCCAACCACATATCTACTGACACATTTACCCTCTCACACATCAACTACCTACTCATGGACCTTTGTACCAAATCATCTACGAACTAAGGCATCTACTAGAGGCATCTGCTTATCTCCCCACTCACCTACCCCCCAAGTGATTTCCAACATCACCCATCTAACTACCTACCCACTCCACAAGCCCTTGTTTAGACACCAATTAATATTATGAATTTCAGAAATGCACTATATATATACCAGATATATACTCCTATACTACATACATATTTACACAAGGACAGACACTCTATACAGCAACTCAGTTTTTAATCTTTACCATTGTCATTATATATGCTGTAAATTAGGTTATCAAGTTTTTGTGCATGATTTGAAATTTCGCTTTAGAAACAAAGATACAAGATGAGTGGTACTGCATGGAGTATAAAGATATATAGGATAGTGCATGTCAGACATTTATAACATTAATCGCTCACCCACTTCTACTGACCATCAGGGGCGGTAGGGTAGCCTAGTGGTTACAGCATTCGCTCATCACGCCTAAGACCCAGGTTCGATTTCCCACATGGGTACAATGTGTGAAGCCCACTTCTTGTGTCCCCCACTGTGATATTGCTGCAGTATTGCTAAAAGTAGCGTAAAACCCAATTCACTCACTCACTCACTACTGACCATCTACCTAAACAGTGACTAACTCACCCATCTAGTAAAAGAGCCAGTGTGTTTCTCATGTTACAATGGCAGTAGAGTAGATATAATGACACAACCGTCTGTACTTGCTCCATGGTTTGTACATACCTGCAAAACCTCCCTGACAGTTACATCTACAGATTCCGCCATCATTGAACGGGTAGCCATGGTAACAGTTATATTCATGACATTCATCCAGCTGTTCACAGTTGTCTCCTAGGTAACCACTCTGACAGTAACACGAATAGCCATTGGCTCCTTCAAGATCCCTACAGGACCCACCATTTTGACATGGTGATGATATGCAGGCATCAATGTCCAGCTCACAAAATATACCTGGAAAATACAGTTGACTATCAGTAACTAAACTTCGCTGTATATCTTACTACTGTCATTAGATATCCTGTTATAGTACCTGTATATCCTGTTACAGTACCTATAGTTTGTTACAGTACCTTTATTTCTCATTACAGTACCTATAGTTCTTGTTACAGTACCTGTATTATTTGTTACAGTACCTGTATATCTTGTTACAGTACCTGTATATCCACTGGAACAGTTGCATGTGAAGTTCCCAACCCCTTCTGTGCACGTCCCATTGTTGATACATGGGCTGGACACACATTCCAAGACCTCCGTCTCACACCATGACCCGATGTACCCTGCTGGACACACACACATTGTCCCATTCTGGGAAACGGACACACACTGACCCCCGTTCTCACATGGGACTGTAGCATTACTGAGGCAGGGGTCATAATCTGAAAAAATGCAGAAGATTTAGGTGAAAGTATTCAAAGTAGATTGATGCCATCAGCCTTCACAGAATACTTGAGAAATTAATAAGATTGAATAAGAATTAGCAAACTTGGCAATATTCCTGCAATGTGAAGATCAATGTTTGTTTGCAATGTCCAGAACATGTAGTACATACCAAGACACTGATCTTCAGAAATGGCACCAGTGACATTTGCCATCTTTTTTCCTGGACAGAGGAGACAGTCTGTGCTGCCACCTTGTGGTTGGTAAGAATCAAGAGGACATAACTCACAAGGCTCAATTCCACCCTGACCATAACTTCCTGGTAAACAGACATGCTGACATTGTCCTACTGAGTCTGACCCCTGGTGGAGAGTGGACATGTTTGTCGGACAGTCCTGACATGTTCTGGCTGCCAGAACGACCTGGTAGGTTCCAGTTGGACACGGAATGCAGGGAGCAAGTCCAGATGAAGAGATGTACCCAGGAGTACATGGAGCTGGAACATGTGTGCAACATCAGAAAGTGCAACGTGGCCTGAATAACAGCATAACAACCTGAACATGTCTTTCAACAGAATAACCATTACAACAATTTTAAGGCCTCAACTAAATCACCATTCTCAAACAGGAATCATATGTAATCTACCAGTGACATCTTGTAACAGATCTTATAACAAGACCATCAACTATGGCACAGTTTTGAAATAGGAACCACTCCCTAACAGTGCCCTTCACAACCTGAAGCTGTTTTCAAATCAGAGAGTATGCAATTTTAGTTTAATGCAAATTTTTGAACACTACTTCAATGACAATGGGTGTCAACTCAAACTGACACAGATTATAGATGCTTATCAGTTACTTTGGTGAAATCGAAGCACACAAGGAAGGTAATGATTAATGAAGTATCCTTATTTGTGATTTGAACCTATAATAAGTGGATCCTAGCACATTAAGGACTATTGTACTTATTCCAGTGCCTTCGCTGCCTTCACCTACTTCTACAGTCCGTGCTGTTGCTGGCCCCCTCAGCCATGGTAGTTGTGTTGTCTGGACACTGCTGGCACTCCAGTTGACCCTCCTGGTCTTGGAACTGGCCAACTGGACAGTCAGTGCAAGTTCTGTTTGCATTGTATGTTCCCACAGGGCACATTACTGTATGAAGAACAATAACAAAATAATTTCCCCAAACAAAATAGTTTTAAGCAAATGGACAATAAATTCATCATCAAATGAACAATTTCATTTTGACACCATGCTATTCCTACTACCTTATCAGTCTCATCTCTGCAGTTGGTAGAGAAAAATTTGAATGCTTGGACAGATTGATGGATTAAAGCCACAAGCTGGAAAAGGACTTACTACATGTCTTGCTGCTATACGAGTCCCTTGTGATGAATCCAGGTTCACAGTCATCAAACTGTGGCTCGGCGTAGGACATACGTGCTGCTGGCAGGAGGACATCTGAGGAGTTGTCCAGAACAAGCCTGCTTTCATTCAGCAGATGGCCCAGATTGTCAGCTATGTTGTACAGGAGGTCTGTTACCACCAGCTGTTCCTGGATGGTCATGTCAGTGATGTTAGAGGACAGGGTCAGAGTGAATTGGATCTTGACCCTCTCAGTTGTGTTGCCACTTGGAGTGTTCACAGTCACATGAGAATCTCCAGCATTAGTTGGCAATGCAGATGTTGTTGATTGTACTGATGGTGTTGTTGGTAAGGAGTTATCCCTGGTTGAGTACTCCTGACTTGTTGGTTGGGACGATGCAAAATCGGTTGATTGAGATTCAGGTCTGAGTGATGTTGTTTCATCACCAGATCTTGGCATTGTTACAGGCAGGGGATCATCCTCAACTCCATCATTAGGTTCATCTGCAGCCAGAGCATCTGGACCATTGTCTTTGTCTGTAGTGCCGTCATGAATACTGGTGACATATGGAACTCCCACTGTTGTGGAGGCACCAGCACCAGCACCAGGATTTGGCTCATCAACCATGATGTTGTCAGCATATGTCTCACCACCTCCAGATGGCATAAATACAGTTGGATTCACTAACATACTCCCTAAGTTCCTTTTACCAACATGGATTGGAAAATGACGTTCCTTGGGATTTGGAAAAGTGTCTGGAGCCTTACTGTTCCTCTTTTGTCTTGTCCTTGAGCCACCTGAAACCTTCAACAAAGTCCTGGAAACACCTTGACTATTCACCTCGAATTGTCCATTTTTGATGCCCCGTATCTTTTCAAAATACACTTGGCCAGATGGTGAGTCTCTTGACCTGGTTGTTTGGTATCCTGGTAACCTGACCTCCCTGCGCCTCCGTGAGTCGACTCCACAGGACACCTTGATATCATCTAGAGGACAGGAATCAGAGCCACACACCTGCCATGAACGACTCTGAATCCATTCCTCAAACTTCCGGGCAATCACATTCTTCTTCTGTTCACATGCCCCACCATAGTAGAAATATTCAGCATATGGCTTCATCCTTGCACGACTTGGATGTCTGGTGCCTGCAAATAGTTTGGCAAACAGTATATCAATAAACTGTACATGCCCTATTCAGCAATGAGCTACCCTGTTGTTATATATAGTTTAGAATAAAAAAGAAACTACATAATAAATCACATAAACACTACATATAATTTTAAAGAGGATACTCCTAACACCTAATTTGTTGTGAGTGTTGTTTTATTCAGAAGAATAATCAGATGTCAGCCTGGAGCAAAAACACCAGTAGTCTACAGCTTCACCCATGTGTTCCTGGCTACAACACCAGTAGTCTACATCTTGACCTATGTGTTCCTGGCTACAACACCAGTAGTCTACAGCTTGACCAATGTGTTCCTGGCTACAACACCAGTAGTCTACAGCTTTACCAATGTGTTCCTAGCTACAACACCAGTAATCTACAGCTTGACCTATGTGTTCCTGGCTACAACACCAGTAGTCTACAGCTTGACCAATGTGTTCCTAGCTACAACACCAGTAGTCTACAGCTTGACCAATGTGTTCCTGGCTACAACACCAGTAGTCTACAGCTTTACCAATGTGTTCCTGGCTACAACACCAGTAGTCTACAGCTTTACCAATGTGTCCCTGGCTACAACACCAGTAGTCTACAGCTTCAGCAATGTGTTCCTGGCTACAACACCAGTAGTCTACAGCTTGACCTATGTGTTCCTAGCTACAACACCAGTAGTCTACAGCTTGACCTATGTGTTCCTAGCTATAACACCAGTAGTCTACAGCTTGACCTATGTGTTCTTAGCTACAACACCAGTAGTCTACAGCTTGAGCAATGTCTTCCTGCCTACAACACCAGTAGTCTACAGCTTGACCTATGTGTTCCTGGCTACACCACCAGTAATCTACAGCTTGACCAATATGTTCCTGGCTACAACACCAGTAGTCTACAGCTTGACCTATGTGTTCCTAGCTATAACACCAGTAGTCTACAGCTTGACCTATGTGTTCTTAGCTACAACACCAGTAGTCTACAGCTTGACCTATGTGTTCCTGGCTACAACACCAGTAGTCTAAAGCTTGACCAATGTGTTCCTGGCTACAACACCAGTAGTCTACAGCGTGACCAATGTGTTCCTAGCTACAACACCAGTAGTCTACAGCTTGACCAATGTGTTACTGGCTACAACACCAGTAGTCTACAGCTTGACCTACGTGTTCCTGGCAACAACACCAGTAGTCTACAGCTTGACCTATGTGTTCCTGGCTACAACACCAGTCACAATGTCAGCCAGGGTATTGCTACTACCTCATGTCACAGTGCAACTGTAGGGGTATTTCCTCTGTACATACGTGAACAGTCTGGCCACCATGTGTTCCTCTGGTGAAGTGCCCATTGTCCATTGAGACAGCGGTAGATGAGTTGAGGTTGGCGGTAGAAGTCATAGTTGCTGTTACACTTGACGCTGCAGAGCGTCAGTGCATCCGATGACTGCGAGCATGTGACGCTGCCGTGCAGGGGTTCCCGTGGATGGTGACACACAACACCTGAAAGAGGAATCAGAACTACACTAGGAGATGTTCACAGACAGAGCAGAGAGAAGACAAGGACCAGGTGTCTAATGTTTCAATGCTAACGATGGTCATTTTATTTCAGTCAACACATGTGTGTTATATCACTGCTTTTTCAACTAATGGCTCTACACTCCTAATACAGAAAAATATTTGAACTTTTTTAGCATTTTGGAATTTCATGATCAGCTTTAAACTTTCGAGGTCAGGCATTAATCTGTGAACAAGTTTGGGACATACCTGAGAACTTATCAGTAGTCTTCCCTGAAGCTGAGCATTGAGATGACAAAACAACAAACATGGAATTGAAAATCTCTAACTTTGTGCTTTGGCAACCATGTCTGACACTGAATGTTCAACTGCTCTATATTATTCCAGCCATATCCTTCTAAATACCTGGTTGCATATCTATGTTTCCTTCCTGAAAGTTTGCACATACCTTCCAGTGTCACAGAGAACACACAGATAGGTAGGTTCTGCACAGTGTCCTGTGGTGTGCAGCGGACATTCCTTGTTCCAATCGGAAACACCGATCCGTTAGGAATGGAGCAGCTTAAGGGAATGGTGTTGTTATTGTTGTCTCTGAAAACAGGCGATGTCCAGTTGACCACTTGACCAGACCCTATAACATCAGTCTTCAGAATGTTCTCCGGACAAAAATCCATCCTGATTATCTTCTCTGAAATATGCAATATCGCATTAAAAAACCCATGAAACAAGAAGCTTTTAAACTTATTTGTGGCTGGTATATTGAATACTGCCTACCTATTCAGCAAGACTTTTCTAATCAGAGTTTTGACCCAGAAAGATCCGGGTTAGAATTGATCTTCAGCAACCCATGTTGTTGTAAGGGGCAACTAACTGGAGCAGATTGTCAGATTCACTGAATTTCTAGGTACACATCACACTCGATTTCTTAGATCAATACTCCTGCTGTCAATCACTGGATTGTCTGGGCCAGATTAATTATTAATTATGCCATCATACAGCAGGAAAATAGCTGAGTGGGGTGTTAAACAACAAACAAACAATGAGAGCATTAAGATTGAAGTGCAATTGCCTCACCCACAACATGGATGCCACGAGTACAGAAGGCCTCGTTGCCTGCAGCATCTTGCACCTGGTAGTTGATCTGATGATAGCCCACTGTCAGATGAGCTGGGGATGTTCTCAGTCCGATCACCAGCAGGCGAAGGTTGGCATCCCCTGAGTTGTCAGAGTACTGTGGGGATTCGGCATCCCAGTGGACAATGGCATAGTTGGCTGTAGTGACCGGTGTCCGGATATCAGGGGGGCAGGAGATTGTTGGGGATTCAGTGTCTGAAATGGAAGCTTAGTGAGTCAGCAGCCTGCACTGTGGCATCACATCTGTTCCACATAAACTTGTGGTTGATAGTGAGAGCATCATAATGAGTTTCTTTCAAGGACACATTCCAATTAATATTGAAACTGCTAGATACTGAATTCATAAAAATATTTTCTTCCTTCGTTTATACAGTAATATACAATAGTAATATTTGGGAGTAAATTTCAAATGGGTTGTTTTCCTACCTACACAAATAGTATCTTCCACAGTGTCCCAGGTTCCATGTGAAGAACATGTCCGTCGGCGTGGGCCTGTCTGGGTGTATCCAGCTCTGCAGGAGAGGGTGCACACGGTACCAGGAAGTTGCCGGGTCATGGAACACTCCACCCCCTCGACTGCCCCCCCAGGTGGTGGCTGAATAGCTGGGCAGTGGGCCTCTACAAGGGCAATATATATACAGGGTCCTCTCTGGGACTTTCAAACTTTGAAATTTTACCAATTTATAGGAAACGTTTGTCTTTTCATTTTTCAGGCTTGACAAGAGAGGAAGACAGTTCTACACATGTAAAGATACCAGTCACATTAACAACATCTACTAACATTAGATATCAAGCTGATACAGTTCTAACCAGTTAGTGTACATAGCTACACATCCTAGTCACAGGGTTAATGACCAGTTATGTGCACCTAGTTCTGAGTGTCAAGGTTCCATAGTTTACCTATACATGTAGCAGCTCTGTCCGACCATATTCCATTGGTGGTACACTGCCGCGTGGCCCTGCCAAATAGCCTCCAGCCCTCATCACAGCGTACATGGACAACAGACAGGTAGGTGGTAGTGGAGTTGACGTAGCTCACCTCTCCATGGGTAACCTGGTCTCCATGGTAATCCAATGTCCGACAATCAACCACTGGAACATCATATAAACACAATCACGTCCCGACCATGTTACAGATGGCAACAAGCAGTATATTCCACCAACTCAACACTCACCTTGGCACTGAGGCACCTGTCCCGACCATGTTACAGATGGCAACAAGCAGTATATTCCACCAACTCAACACTCACCTTGGCCATGTTTGGCACTGAGGCACTCACCTTCTGACCATGTTACAGATGGCAACAAGCAGATGGCAACAAGCAGTATATTCCACCAACTCAACACTCACCTTGGCACTGAGGCACCTGTCCCGACCATGTTACAGATGGCAACAAGCAGTATATTCCACCAACTCAACACTCACCTTGGCACTGAGGCACCTGTCCCGACCATGTTACAGATGGCAACAAGCAGTATATTCCACCAACTCAACACTCACCTTGGCACTGAGGCACCTGTCCGGACCATGTACCATTCATGTTACAGATGAGACCTGGATGTCCTCCAAGTCGATATCCCACATCACACTTATAGTGACATGAGGTCTCCGGAGTGTTGTAACATGGAGACCCAGTGTCGATGACTTCATCTCGTATTCGACCAATCACATTGAACTTGTGGGCGTGAGCTATTTCGGGGAGTTCTGGACATGATCTCACTGAAAGAACATCCATAGATGTGATATTATGACTCCATCTAGGAAAGACAACAAAGGAGTCATGAGAAGATGACAACTCCTTCGAAAAAACAATCATCTGATTGTCACAGGAAGTCCAACAAGAGTAACTTGAGCAAGTAAGAAATGGATTCAGAGCATTGTATTTGTATGTCAGGTCTATTTTTGCAAAACAATAGCTAATGGAGGTCACACAATACTTGAAATTCTCCAAGAGTTACACCAGTTTACTACTGAAGCGTTGATGGGTTCAGTTTACTGTTGTGCTGCTCACTGCCGTGTCTCCAGTGTTGCCAGTATGCCGAGTCTCATCTACTCACATTGACACGTCTTCCTGACTGAATCCTGGTGGTATGGAGGCTGACACACACATTGGTCGTGGTTGATGGCCCCAGGGAGCAGCGTGGTGGAGTTGGAGGGACACGGGACACACAGGTGGGGACTCAGGGTATCCTTGTATGTCCCTAGGGGACACTCTAGTGATACAAACATACAGCGTATTGGTCTGTTTGTGTGGTAGTTACAGTTTTAGTGTACTCTAATGATATAGTTAACATCACTCTCTAGCTGATATGGAATAATATATTTTCATTAAATTATTTCATGCTGTATGTCATCAGTGAGTTGAATAAATTAATGTGCATTTTTATCCATTTGCTCACATGGTGTTTAGACACATTCACTACACATAAACACAAGACATGCACTTACCATGGAATGAGTAATTTGTCTATTAACATCTATCCTCCTAACTAGATTAATGGCATAACATCTTAGGTATATTTGTGTAATCTATCAAATTCAAAAGGGATATCATCATTAGCTGAAATCTGAATACATCTACCGGCACAGGTAAATCCATTTCCATAGTAACCAGCCTTACACACACAGAGGTACTGTCCTGAACGTGTGGTGCAGGTACACACAGCATTGGCGGAACACTGGTTCTCACACAGCATCATGTTGCTGACCACATCCCAAGTCTCTCGCTGCTCATCTACACAGCACAAGAAGTTCATAGTATTACAGCACTAGAAACAGCAATGCACTATAATAATACAATAATTTATAATGAAAAGCTTTTTATAGAAAAATATTTCTTGTTAGTTAAACCACTTCTTGTAACGAAAGAACCAGATCAGATGTAACATCCTTATAAAATTGGAGTGATGTATCTCAGGCAGAGGGAGGTTTATAGAAGCAAATCAATCTTTTTTTACTGAAGATGCAAATATTTAAGCTATCTGATGTCTCTTATGTCTGTCACAGGGGAATGAGAAAGCCACCTGCAGCAACACAGATCCACTTGAAGAAAACACAAATACAAGTCATCATATAAATAATATTGAAAAATTAAATATTGAAAAATTGAGCAACCAGCATTGATGTACCATTATGGAGTGATCTGGCCAGCTCCTCGAATGTCCTAAAGTCAGGCAAGAAGTAGGTGTGGTTGCTTAGCGGCGACGCCAAGGTCCGTAACTCTGGCATGTAGGCGTCCTTCACCCCAAAGGCATATATCTCTAGCTGGGGGCCATGGGCAGTTGTATTCCAGCCGGTGTCCCACCGGAGAGACCGCAGTTCAATGGATGCCTGGACTGGTGCTGGACCGATGTTGGACTTACCATCAGTCAACACAAACACAGCCTTTTTAGCACCACGTCTTGAGTTCAAGAGGATCGCCTTAGCATTTCTCAAAGCCTCATTTGTTGCAGTGTATCCAGACATTACCTTTTGACCTAAACGAAGTTGAATTTTCAGCATCATTGAACATTTGCTTTCACGACCTTCATCAAGGTCATTTATGTCAATGCTGACCCTTGTGCTGAAGGAAATTATTGCGATGCGAGTGTTGTCATGGCTGAGGGTGAAAAATTCCAACAGAGAACGAACAAAATTTAACATGGCCTCCCATCCAGATCTTGGAACACTTGAAGAACGGTCTAGAATAAAAACAAGATCCACTTCTCGAGAGCTAAACCTATCGTAGAAGCCTTCAACCATCTCTCTACCTTGTGAGACAATAGTGCTCTCACTCGAGATAGAGTGGACTGTCACACACAAATATAAAACACATCCAAGATATGCACACTCCCTCAGACTCATTCTGAAATTCTGAAGAAAAAAACAACATGATTATTAGAATGTTGTGAATGATATGTTTTAAATTTTAGGGGGTGTATCCTCTACTTCAAGTCAAAATTAACTGTGATCTCATTTTTGGGAATCATCTATGAAGACCAAAAATAATATTTCTAAAGATCAGGTTTTACATGTGGGGAAACCAATGAGCATATGTATAGAGCTGAAATGTCTAACCAATCTTGGATTCAAAACCCATGGTTATCAGATCCTGATTCTCTCAAGGGATACAACTCTGCATCACTCCTGAGGATTCCAAACTCTTTTTTTTTAAATTACGATCTTTGAGAAACTAGCACAGTAGGTCTGTAGATATTTGTTGACATAGATTTTGAAAAAGTAGCATTCACTGCTCAGAACTTGTAAGATCAATAATGCTAATTAATTACTTATAATCTAAAACTAATCACCACTGAATCACATACTGACATAAAATTAAATGTAGCAGACATGAATTCAAAATGGTATCTATGGTATCACAGAGGCCCATCAGAGTATGAACTCACAGTTGGGCCTAAACAGATCAACATTGACTAACATCTAGTCTCTGAAATGAACATATTTTACAGAAAAATAAAGTTTAAAAAAATAATCATAAAATATAATGAAAAGGAGGTGAGGCGAGGTGAAATTGGGTTTAACGTCGTGCTTGAGAATATTTCGCTCATATGACGACGTGCATGCGTGTGTATGTGTATGTGCGGCTGCTTGTACTAGCCCAGACTGAAGCTGGTTTTATAGTGCTAGCCCACTGAGATACCACGCCGCAGTGAAGCATGAATACCCCACACAGACACATTATACTGATTCCGAGCCGACCAGTCCTTGTTGTACCCATTAATGCCGAGCGCCAGGCAGGGACCAACAAGTACCATATTTTGTCTTTTGGTATATGACACAGTCGGGGATCGAACCCGCGACCTTCCGCTCTCCAGGCGGACGCTCTAACCACTACACCACGGAGGCGTTTTAATGAAAAGGAGCCCAGAGACTTTCTTTATTTCCTGAAACTGTGGAAATCTAGACTTGCCACATATTCTAGATTTGCATGGGCTTTCTTGGATATACTTGTTTCAGGGTCTGCATGACAGTCTACAGATCAGCACAGCCTGTACACATCAAATGTCATAACAATACATGCAGAAATGTCGGAGAAATACAACAAAACAATATTTTTAATATGGCTACTGTGACAGCCATGATTATGACACAGGATATTATCTATGGCCATTTCTGTTCCAGATCATATACATACAACCACAGCTTTGAAAGACCATTGCTTCAAAGCAGACAAGGACTTAGATGCATACACAGACGCAATATATAGACGTTTTGTAGGGTAAAGTACACAAACACAGATGGTCATAAAGATTGGTTGGTTGGTTGTCATTTAATGCCACACTCAGGAATATTCCAGCTATATGGTGGCAGTCTGTGAATAATCGAGTCTGGACCAGACAATCCAGTGATCAACAGCATGAGCATCAATCCATGGAACTGGGATATGATGACATGTGTCAACCCAGCCAGTGAGCCTGACCAAAAAGAAAAATACCCTAAAGAAATTAGATATTGTTATTGCGCATAGCACTCATGACGGCATATCCCAATAAAACAAAATTGCGAAACAAGGAGTGATGGAAGCAGAAACTCCTCCAATGGAACAATAGGAAGGGAAGGAGAGCTGCACCAATGAGGAACGCCAGTGTTTACATGCCTGACATTCCAGCCCAGATAACTAGGTGTCACTTTCCCAGTCTGTTGTTTGTTATATTGTCTTCTTTATTGTCTTCCTTTATCTCAGTCAAAGGAGGTAAAATACTGCCCGACATATTAAACATTTAGGAAAGTTACTTTGTTTAATTATGTTAATTACAGATATTGAGCAAAATGAAATGAGGGATCATGAATATTTTTGTAGATACATATATTAAGTGAAGACTTGAGCGCACCATAGTCTGTCATACAGACCCTGAAACAAATATACCCAATGCAGCCCATGCAAGTCTAGAATGTGTGGCAAGTCTAGATTAAAGCAGTTTCTGTAAATGAAGAAAGTCTCTGGGCTCATTTTTATTGTATTTAATTTTAATTTAAAAACTTTTGTTTTCTGTAAAATATATTCATTTCAGAGACTAGCTATTAGTCTAAGCACACCATCTCAGAAAAATATCCCAAACTAGAGTCATCGATAACCCTGCAATGGCAAAATGTAAACTTGTTGCAGTGTTTGCCATAAAATGGTATGGCATTTGTGAAGTAATTTTTGTTTCACCCAAAAAAATATCGACAATTTTAGAAAACATAATGTTTGAACTCCATCTTCAGGAACACCATTTCAGTCTTCATCACTTTTGTATTCAATTATGGTAATAGTTTTAAATATTAGAATTTTGTAAAGAACTTCACCGTTCATACATCCTATCACTTCTGTTCAAGGCTTCACTATTTATAAACCTCATCACTTATATATTAGGTTTCATTGTTGATCATTCTTATAACTTTTACAACTTTGAAGAAATACTGTACAGTTTTCAAGGTCTGCCATGGAAACAGTCTTGCCCTGATGAAGTTCTAGAGAATGGGCTTGAATCAAATGGTAGTCTCTCTGCTTATAAGAGAAAATTTATGACTCATGTTCTTTCTTGAAAAGAAAGTGATAGAGCAATTTGACCATTATCACTTCTCTAGACAAAATGGGTGCTATTATCTCACAAACTATATCAGTGGCTCTGACATGTGGCCATGTTCTGTCAATGACACACAAGCTGTTTTATGAGTATATTATTAGCTGTTATAAAACCTGTCCAGGAAACCGGTATATGATTTTATACAGTGGTAGTCTATATGATATTGATGGATCATTGACTATGTACAGTTCAATCAGTTAGACGAACATTTCTGCATATTACACCTTGTCATTTGCACTCACATCTTCCACCAACTTATCTCTAGAAACCTTCGAGTGTGCACTCCAAGCATGTTATAGTTAATGCAGACTAGCACATACTATATTGACTATTGTTGACATATACTGCTGTTGATATACCATTTACAAATACCACCTATTTAATTACCTTTTAAATAGGACCGCCTCCGTGGTGGAGTGGTTAGAGCGTCCGACCGAAGAACGGAAGGTCGCAGGTTCGATCCCTGACTGTGTCATATACCAAAAGACGTTAAAATATGGTACTTTGTTGGTCCCTGCCTGGCGCTCGGCATTAATGGGTACAACAAGGACTGGTCGGCTCAGAGTCAGTATAATGTGTCTGTGTGGGGTATTCATGCTTCACTGCGGCGTGGTATCTCAGTGGGCTAGCACTATAAACCCAGCTTCAGTCTGGGCTAGTACAAGCAGCTGCACATACACATACACACTCATGCACGTCGTCATATGAGCGAAATATTCTCAATCATGACGGTAAACCCAATTTCACCTCACCTCACATTTTAAATATGTCAATAATTACAATTGAAGCAATTTTCAAATGAATGTATTTATCTAAATAGTCTGTGTTGGCTTGGTCCGCTAACTGCAATCAAATGTTTTAATTAATGTCTGACAATCAGTTAGTCCGAGTGTAGACGCGATCAACATGATACATAGCCTGTACTTGCATCAGGAGTGGGTCATGTTTCAGGAATACAATCCCCTCCTCCTGATGTGTTATCACAGACAGGCTGTTAGTGACGTGCTAGTGACGTGCTAGTGACGAGCTGACACACATCACATAAGTGTTGACAGGTGGTGTTTGTAAACATTCAACAACATCAAAACAATCAACATGTAATTTACATGTTTCCTATAAATTAATCATGGTGTCTAATATTGAAATGACTCCGGCATTCCGATTTTTTTCCATCCTGAGTACATGTTATAAGGTGACACATATTGATGTTTAGACTAACAACTAGTCTCTGAAATGAAAATATTTTGCAAAAAAAACAGTTCATGAAAAATAATCATAAAGTATAATGAAAAGGAGCCCAGACTCTTTCTTCATTTTCAGGAACTGTGGAAATCTAGACTTACCACATTTTCTAGGCTTGCATGGGCTTTCTCGGCTATGTTTGTTTCCGGGATGTATGACAGACTAACTGATGTTGTATGTCACAAGATATTGGGAAATGGGACAACTTGTGTTTCAGTTTTATATTGTTATTGTTTTTCTCATTATTGTTGTTGCTATTGTTATGTTATAGTCACTTCATTATGATATATGTCCATAAATGTTTTTGATTGTAAATTGGAACCATCAATTGTATTAACCAGAGTCAATTAGATATTACTGACACATTATTTTGATATTTTTTAATGACTAAACTGAAATAACTTTTTTTAAACACACAAATACACAGCAAAGTTGTTCAACAGATATCCAATACCATCTGCTCTGTAAAATATTATCTAACAAGTTTAATGCAAGTAAACAAGTAAACAGACTTAATGATGGAATTAGATAGAAGGACATAGTTGCTGTATTTGCCATCATTGCCAAATGGATAGTCTGTAACACAGACCCTAGAACAAGTACACCCAATACAGCCCATGCAAGTCTAGAATATGTGGCAAGTCTAGATTTCCACAATTTCAGGAATGAAGAAAGTCTCTGGGCTCCTTTTTGTTATATTTCATAAATATGTTCATTTCAGAGACTAGATCCTACCTATATAGACTTCCAAATGAAGAACTACTCAGCAATCTTATTGGCCCCTCAACCTGTGCACCCCTTGTAGTGATATGGTCAAAAATAATGATATCGCAGACATATCAACGAACACAGTAAGTGATATTTTCTCAAACAGATAAACCTAAGTCTGTTCTTCACATATTTGACATGAAACTAAACGTGAAGTCAAGCATGTCCAGAACTACAATCCACAATAAATTTGACTTCCAGTGAGAAAATACTGAAAGTTACCAATTGCCATGACAACAATGTCAGATATATTTCTACACATGTGATCAGGTAGCTTTGTGTCTGTATCATTTTGAGAATGATGCTATTCACCACTGATGATACACTTTGGCCCAATTCTGGTGTTTAACTGGATTATCTGGTCCAGACTCAATTATTTACAGACTGCCACCATATAGCTGGAATATTGCTGAGTGTGTCGTTAAACAACAAACCAACCAACCAACATAATGATAAAAGGCATGAACCTGCAATAATTATTGGTTAAAAAGTGAAAAGAACAGTCCCAAACAAACCAGCAAAGTTGCATGTTGAACTCTGCACCTGACACAGACACTGGACAACACCTTTCATGACAAATGTGAAACCATGACATATGCCTGACTGACATAAATAATACATTTATTGTGATAACATTGGTAGAGAACTCTTCATGCTTCTTGTTTTTGTATGGTCACTCCACTGACCAGAGCGACCAGGTGTCAAGGAAGCATGCTGTATTATCAGATCTTTTCCATTTTGAGGAGGAATAAATTAATTATTTGATCTTCAAGATTTATGCTTTTACAAGAATTTGGGATTGTAGTCCCTATAGTGAGATACTGCTGGATTCCCAATCTCAAAACATTATAGACCGCCTCCGTGGTGTAGTGGTTAGAGCGTCCGCCCGGAGAGTGGAAGGTCGCAGGTTCGATCCCCGACAGCGTCATACCAAAATATGTTAAATATGGTACTTGTTGGTCCCTGCCTGGCGCTCGGCATTAATGGGTACAACAAGGACTGGTCGGCTCGGAATCAGTATAATGTGTCTGAGTGGGGTATTCATGCTTCACTGCGGCGTGGTATCTCAGTGGGCTAGCACTATAAAACCAGCTTCAGTCTGGGCTAGTACAAGCAGCTGCACATACACATACACACGCATGCACGTTGTCATATGAGCGAAATATTCTCAAGCACGATGTTAAACCAAAAATCACCTCACCTCACCTCACCTCAAAACATTATAACATTTCAGATTGTTTTCTCCTTTATAAGATATTGCTGAGATTCCCAATCTCAAAACATTATAACATTTCAGATTCTTTTATAAACGAATTCAAATCAGTTGCAATCAATATGTTTTTCCAGTCATGGACGTGTATATTAAATAACAGCTCATGATATTGTATGTATAGAGAATTTAAAAGTCTTTTAGCTACTGACAAATATTTATCATGTATTGTCGACAGAAACTCTGTAAACTATTAATTAAATTTAGATGTGGATTGCTAAGATTAAAATATAATGAAGGTAGATGGCAAAATATTAATGTAACAGAACTGTCCATTGTGCAATTTAGGAATAGAAGATGAGTACCACTTTTTATTTGTTTGTAATGTCTATAATGCTCTTAGATCAAAATATTTACCATCTGTATATTGTCAAAAATCTAATTATCATAAGTTGAAATCCCTATTAACTACTAATATAGAAACACTTCTAAGAAAATTATGCACATATTTATACCATGCATATGAAATAAGAGAATACCTGCCAATTCAGTAGGGTAATATTATATATTTTTGTATGATTTCTCCATGTACTATGTCATTATATATATGTGTTGTAAACTCAACCTTTGTTATTGTATACATGTGTAAATGTATGTATATATGTTGTATACGGGCCTGTGACCTATAGACAATAAAAAGACTTTGACTATTCCCCATGGTAAAATATTGCTGGATTCCCAATCTCAAAACATTATAACATTTCAGAATGTAGTACCCTTGTGAGATATTGCTGAAATTCAGCATCTCAATACATTGGAACATGTTGGTTGGGTTGTTACATAATACACATATTCTCCAAAACCAATAGATTTAAACTGAAGAAATATTTGGTCATAACATCTAATTTAAATACTTAAAAATTGATATTAAACATATATTAAAAATGATCCTGACTAGGAATCCAAATTATTCACAGAAAATCAGAACCCTATAACAAATTGAGCAGAGTAACACTGGTACTCACTTGCTGCAGTGAGGGAGGGCGTCTAGTCCTGGCAGTGGTGGGACCCACACACTATCTGCCCACAGATAATGATGACATGTTGGCTAGGGGGGAAACTTGATCCCACTCACAACACAATAGGCAGGTCTTGAAGGTGGCACCAGGTCTATAACTCTTGTCATGGTGGGAGAGGGTAGTGGTGATAAACTGCCTGAAATACACCATGCAGCATTCAGGAGTGGTATGTCAGTGTCCAAAGGTCATTATCATTACAATGAATTACTTCAGTGGTGCTTCATTTATACATGATGCTAATGTAACAAGCATTTTACACGATTATCTACAAATAAATATTTAATTGGATTGTTTCACATATTGGAATTTTGGATGTTTTTAAAAATATTGTTGAAAATGACTTCTCAAGGAATTTGGGTAAGGAGAATATTTGAAAATAGTTAAGAAAATTATGTATTCCAGGAGATATTTGACTGAGTGGGTGAATTCCATTAAACACAGCTTGGAAAAATATTTCAGTTACCAGTGTATCCTGCTTAAGTTATCCTGGAGGGAAGAAATTAGTCAGTGCATGCTCGTCTGTCTACCACTTTTCTGAATCCCATTGGTGCTAACCAATGAGAAAACATAATAAGCTTAAATCAGGGTTTGAACCATAATCACAAAGTGATTAGAAGAAAAAAAACCTGTGCCTGGAACAGTTAACAATTATTAAAAACGCATTAACTCCAAGTAGACAATGAAAGGAAACCGGTAGTAAAGTCTTAAAACAATATTCCACCCCATCCAAAGTTTTCAAATATTCACTTAAGTGTAAAATACATGTTTCAGTTGAAAATTGTTTGAAATATCAGGTCATACTTTCATCAAAGAAAACCAGTAATGTACAATTTGAAAACCTCCAACAGTATATGGATGTTTTGTGTTTTACATTTTCCTGCATATAAAAAATATGTGTGTGTGTGTGTGTGTGTGTGTGTGTAGAAGAGAAAATAGTCATGGTCAGTCTCTAGCAGAGGAATCACAAATTGTTTACATATATATATTTGGGATTTCTGGAGGCAATACACTTCCTAGTGTCGAGCTGTCACAAGAGATGTAGGTATATTAACTTTCAGTGCCTCATCCAAAAAGCCCACTGGGCAAATTACTTTTTAAAAACGGTCCAAACAATATCTGAAAGTGTGCTGACAATATCTGAAAGTGTGCTGACAATATCTGAAAGTGTGCTGACAATATCTGAAAGTGTGCTGAAAATATCTGAAAGTGTCCTAACAATATCTGAAAGTGTGCTGACAATATCTGAAAGTGTGCTGACAACATCTGAAAGTGTGCTGACAATATCTGAAAGTCAATATCTGAAAGTGTGCTGACAACATCTGAAAGTGTGCTGACAATATCTGAAAGTGTGCTGACAATATCTGAAAGTGTGCTGACAATATCTGAAAGTGTGCTGACAATATCTGAAAGTGTCCTAAGAATATCTGAAAGTGTGCTGACAATATCTGAAAGTGTGCTGACAACATCTGAAAGTGTGCTGACAACATCTGAAAGTGTGCTGACAACATCTGAAAGTGTGCTGACAATATCTGAAAGTGTGCTGACAACATCTGAAAGTGTGCTGACAATATCTGAAAGTGTGATGACAATAATGGAAAGTGTGCTGACAATATCTGAAAGTGTGCTGACAATATCTGAAAGTGTGCTGACAACATCTGAAGGTGTGCTGACAATATCTGAAAGTGTGCTGACAATATCTGAAAGTGTGCTGACAATAATGGAAAGTGTGCTGACATCTGAAAGTGTGCTGACAATATCTGAAAGTGTGCTGACAACATCTGAAAGTGTGCTGACAACATCTGAAAGTGTGCTGACAATATCTGAAAGTTTGCTGACAATATCTGAAAGTGTGCTGACAATATCTGAAAATGTCCTAACAATATCTGAAAGTGTGCTGACAACATCTGACAGTGTGCTGACAATATCTGAAAGTGTGCTGACAATATCGGAAAGTGTCCTAACAATATCTGAAAGTGTGCTGACAATATCTGAAAGTGTGCTGACAATATCTGAAAGTGTGCTGACAACATCTGAAAGTGTGCTGACAATATCTGAAAGTGTGCTGACAATATCTGAAAGTGTGCTGACAAAATCTGAAAGTGTGCTGACAATATCGGAAAATGTCATAACAATATCTGAAAGTGTGCTGACAATATCTGAAAGTGCGCTGACAATATCGGAAAATGTCCTAACAATATATGAAAGTGTGCTGACAATATCTGAAAGAGCGCTGACAATATCTGAAAATGTCCTAACAATATATGAAAGTGCGATGACAATATCTGAAAGTGTGCTGAAATGTCTTTCAAAGAGTGCTGACAATATCGGAAAATGTCCTAACAATATCTGAAAGTGTGCTGACAATATCTGAAAGTGTGCTGACAATATCTGAAAGTGTGCTGACAATATCTGAAAGTGTGCTGACAATATCTGAAAGTGTGCTGACAATATCTGAAAATGTCCTAACAATATCTGAAAGTGTGCTGACAGCATCTGAAAGTGTGCTGACAACATCTGACAGTGTGCTGACAATATCTGAAAGTGTCGTAACAATATCTGAAAGTGTGCTGACAATATCTGAAAGTGTGCTGACAATATCTGAAAGTGTGCTGACAATATCAATATCGGAAAATGTCCTAACAATATCTGAAAGTGTGCTGACAATCTCTGAAAGTGTGCTGAAAATGTCTGAAAGTGCGCTGACAATATCTGAAAATGTACTGACAACATCTTAAAGTGAGCTGACAATATCTGAAAGTGTGCTGACAATAATGGAAAGTGTGCTGACAATATCTGAAAGTGTGCTGACAATATCTGAAAAGTGTGCTGACAATGTCTGAAAGCGCGCTGACAATATCTGAAAGTGTGCTGACAATATCTGAAAGTGTGCTGAAAATATCTGAAAGTGTCCTAACAATATCTGAAAGTGTGCTGACAATGTCTGAAAGTGTGCTGACAATATCTGAAAGTGTGCTGACAATATCTGAAAGTGTGCTGACAATAATGGAAAGTGTGCTGACAATATCTGAAAGTGTGCTGACAATAATGGAAAGTGTGTGCTGACAATATCTGAAAGTGTGCTGACAATATCTGAAAGTGTGCTGACAATATCGGAAAGTGTGCTGACAATATCTGAAAGTGTGCTGACAATATCTGAAAGTGTCCTTACAACATCTGATAATGTGCTGACAACATCTGAAAGTGAGCTGACAATATCTGAAAGTGTGCTGACAATATCTGAAAGTACGCTGACAATATCTGAAAATGTCCTTACAACATCTGAAAATGTGCTGACAACATCTGAAAGTGAGCTGACAATATCTGAAAGTGTGCTGACAATATCTGAAAGTGTGCTGACAATATCTGAAAGTGTGCTGACAATAATGGAAAGTGAGCTGACAATATGTGAAAGTGTGCTGACAATAATGGAAAGTGTGCTGACAATATCTGAAAGTGTGCTGACAATATCTGAAAGTGTGCTGACAATAATGGAAAGTGTGCTGACAATATCTGAAAGTGTGCTGACAATATCTGAAAGTGTGCTGACAATAATGGAAAGTGTGCTGACAATATCTGAAAGTGTGCTGACAATATCTGAAAGTGTGCTGACAATAATGGAAAGTGTGCTGACAATATCTGAAAGTGTGATGACAATGTCTGAAAGCGCGCTGACAATATCTGAAAGTGTGCTGACAATATCTGAAAGTGTCCTAACAATATCTGAAAGTGTGATGACAATGTCTGAAAGTGTGCTGACAATATCTGAAAGTGTGCTGACAATATCTGAAAGTGTCCTAACAATATCTGAAAGTGTGCTGACAATATCTGAAAGTGTGCTGACAATAATGGAAAGTGTGCTGACAAATCATCTGAAAGTGTCCTAACAATATCTGAAAGTGTGCTGACAATATCTGAAAGTGTCCTAACAATATCTGAAAGTGTGCTGACAATATCTGAAAGTGTGCTGACAATATCTGAAAGTATGCCGACAATATCTGAAAGTGTCCTAACAATATCTGAAAGTGTGATGACAATGTCTGAAAGTGTGCTGACAATATCTGAAAGTATGCCGACAATATCTGAAAGTGTCCTAACAATATCTGAAAGTGTGATGACAATGTCTGAAAGTGTGCTGACAATATCTGAAAGTGTGCTGACAATATCTGAAAGTGTCCTAACAATATCTGAAAGTGTGCTGACAATATCTGAAAGTGTGCTGACAATAATGGAAAGTGTGCTGACAATATCTGAAAGTGTGCTGACAACATCTGAAAGTGTGCTGACAATATCTGAAAGTCAATATCTGAAAGTGTGCTGACAACATCTGAAAGTGTGCTGACAATATCTGAAAGTGTGCTGACAATATCTGAAAGTGTGCTGACAATATCTGAAAGTGTGCTGACAATATCTGAAAGTGTCCTAAGAATATCTGAAAGTGTGCTGACAATATCTGAAAGTGTGCTGACAACATCTGAAAGTGTGCTGACAACATCTGAAAGTGTGCTGACAACATCTGAAAGTGTGCTGACAATATCTGAAAGTGTGCTGACAACATCTGAAAGTGTGCTGACAATATCTGAAAGTGTGATGACAATAATGGAAAGTGTGCTGACAATATCTGAAAGTGTGCTGACAATATCTGAAAGTGTGCTGACAACATCTGAAGGTGTGCTGACAATATCTGAAAGTGTGCTGACAATATCTGAAAGTGTGCTGACAATAATGGAAAGTGTGCTGACATCTGAAAGTGTGCTGACAATATCTGAAAGTGTGCTGACAACATCTGAAAGTGTGCTGACAACATCTGAAAGTGTGCTGACAATATCTGAAAGTTTGCTGACAATATCTGAAAGTGTGCTGACAATATCTGAAAATGTCCTAACAATATCTGAAAGTGTGCTGACAACATCTGACGAGGTGTGCTGACAATATCTGAAAGTGTGCTGACAATATCGGAAAGTGTCCTAACAATATCTGAAAGTGTGCTGACAATATCTGAAAGTGTGCTGACAATATCTGAAAGTGTGCTGACAACATCTGAAAGTGTGCTGACAATATCTGAAAGTGTGCTGACAATATCTGAAAGTGTGCTGACAAAATCTGAAAGTGTGCTGACAATATCGGAAAATGTCA